GTTTCTTTTTCTGCCAAGTTCTTTTTCTTTCGTTTTTGAGTGATTTTCGTGTGCAAAGTTCGGTTTCTAGTTCCCCTGGAATTTTTCCCGGTTTTATAAAAATATTTTATGATAAAATTTGAACATGTGCACCTTTTTGGGTTTTCTTTTTTGTGGAAAAAGTGCCGCAGTTTATAGGTCGGGGTCAAATTTGTTCCAAGGGAAGTTTCTTTGGAATTCTTGCTTGCCTAATTTTGGGCACGGGGCCCTAATTCCCCATTGAACAAAATGTGGGCACGGGGCCCTTTACTGCTGCACCTCCTCCTGCCTAGGTTTATAAGCGCCTCTCCTGGTTTTTCCGCTTTATTCAAGATTGATGGATGAACACATCGACTCAAAGGTTGGGGGGGCTGTTTACCTCATTTTTCCCCCTTTTTCTTCAAGTTTTTTTCCCACGTACGGAACCCGATTGGGGCCACTGTGTGGCGAAAAGTTTCCCAATAAAGATACCCAAGAAATTGCACTGTGTCTAAATTTTTCAAAAATGTCGGTTCTCTGAACCATTCATCTACAAAACATAATCTTTTATTCTTCCGCCTCGTTCAGGGGGGGACAGGTTCAGGAAAACCCCAAGCGGGTCCCCGTAATTTTGGGGTGTTTTATCTTCCCTTATGGTGGTGAAGGTTTTCTGTTTCATTTTTTAGGGGCAGCAATTTACCTGCCTTGAAAAGGTTTCTGTTATGTGCAGCAATATTCCGTGTGGAAATTTTTTTTTTTAAATTTTCCCGAAAAATTTTTTGTTTTTAAAAATTAAATAATTTTAATACCTTGGGCACCCGTGAATTTTGCGGTTCTGGAAATTTGTGGCTTTAAGTAATTCAAAATTTTCCTTTGACCTAATTAATATTTTTTCACGGAATCCTCGAAAAATTTTTGGATTATTTTTTTTTTTTTTCGTGGCAATATACTTTTAAATTTTTTTTGTGTTTTTTTGCCCAAATATTAAAAAATTTTAATAATTTTGTAACAAATAAAAAGAGTTACATAAATAAAAATAATAATTAAAAATTTAAAAAAATTAAAAAATAATTTAAATTTTTTAACAAATAATAATTTAATTTCTTTAAAATTTAAAATTTTTACCGTTTTTATTTACCGGGCGTATACCAAAAAAAAATGGGGATGAATAAAATTTTTGTTTTCCAAAAAAAACGGCTTTTCAGAATTTTTCAGTACATATTTGGGGAGTTTATCTGGAGGGGAGTTCCGGGGGTCAACGCCCCCCCGGCCCGGGGGCTGTGACCGGGCCCCCTTAGGGGCAGTGTCCAAAGGGTGCGAAACCCCCAAACCCGTCGAATCAAAAAACCCGGTAAACCCCCTTTTTCTGAGGGGAACATGCAACAGGTGGAAAGGAAAAAAGTCCCCAAAGTTTCTATCTGGCTGGGAATCGAACCCCGGCCCTCCCGTGTGGGAAACGGGGGGAAAAGCGTTAACCACCAGGCCAAACCCGAAACCCATATGGGGTAACAAATTTGTATTTTTACAGTCTAGCAATGCGGGAGCATTTGCAGTACAGTACCCGTACCCCTGGTTTTTCTTTAATTTTTTTTTTAAGGGTAATGTATGAAGCTGAGGGGTTTAAAATTTTAAAATGCTTTGGGGGGCTTTTTTTAGGTTTAAAATATAAAAAAAGGCAAACTATAGGGCCCTTTTTTTTTTCCGGGGTTTTTGGAAAATTTTCAGTTTTTCCCAAAATTTTGGGGGGGTCCCTTTGGGAAGTAACCCCCGTGAATTTGGGGGGGGGGGAATATGTATTGTTTTTAAAAAAAAAGAGTGTTGGTGGACTTTTAGAAAAATTTTTTTAGCCATGATGAAAACCCCCACACCAGTTGGGGGGGGTGTTAAAATTTGGCGTGGGTTTTAAAAAAATTGGAGAATGTAATAAAGAGACAAAAACTGTTTTTAAACATGCCCCCATTTGGGGGGCGTTTTCGGCGTGAAGGAAAGGGCTATGAAAAAAAGTAAGATCGTGGGCTTGTAATTTTTGGGGAAATTCAAAAAGGGGACTCAATACAATAAGCTGAAATTGGAAAATAAAAGAAAACGGGCCCTTTATCTGGAAAGGTGGCAACCTTATGTATGTAAACTTCCCTTTTTCACTACGTAGATTTCTATGTTTTGGGCCCCTCTGTTTATTGTCTCTTAGGGAAGTGTTAAGATGTGAAACCTAAGAAATTTTTTGGGGAAGTGTTCATTTAAACTTTGTTTTTTAAAAGATGCACTTATTATGCAATTTTAAAACTGAAAATACAGTGGGGCCCCCGGTTAACGATTTTTTAAACCCTGCAAAAAGGGGGTAAATTTTTTTTGCGAAAAAATTCCCCTTATGGGGAATGAATTTTTCCCAAAAAGAAATTTTTGGAAATAAAAATTAAAACCGTGCAAGAAAAAAACCCCCAAAAATATTTAAAAAAAAATTTTTTTTTTCCACATGAAATGTTTAAATTTTTAAAACACACCCAAAATGAAAAAAAGGGTTTCCCAATTTTCATGCACTTACTTTTATTTAAGATTGGGGATGTTGATGGGATGGGGGAGGGGGGAGCATTTTCTTCCCTTCGTTTAGAAGGGGGGAAACCCCCTTTCCCTTCGACTTGAGGTGCAAAAATCCCCTTTTTCCCGGGGTTTCTTTTCCCCCTTTTTCTTTTAATGCCACTAGGACCAGCTTGAGGTCACCTTTGGGCCTCTGTCGCACAAAAAAAATCTGTCCCCAAAAGAAACTTGTTCCTCCGTTCCCTTTTCGATTTGTCTTTAAAAAGGGCCACAAAAAATTGTCATTGAAATAGTCCCCCAGACGGCTTGCAACAGCTGTGTCGGGTGATTTTCATTTAAAGGTTTGCAGTTCAACCCCCTGTGCACCATTTCCTTAATCTTTGAAGTAGGCACAATGGATTCCAAAAACTGGCATAGGCTTCTCAGGGTTAGCCCAAACCCTTAAAAATCTTTCTTAATTTCCATACTAATTCTCACCTTTTTACACAGGGTTGGCACTAGAAGCTTTCTTGGGGCCATGGTCATTTTATTTTCCAGAAACAGCACCGAAAACACTGTAATAATACGAAATATTCCGAGTGTATGCTTGGATGTTACCGCGGAGGCTGGCTGGTAAACAATGGGACGGCCGGCACATGTGAGGCTGGCTGAGGGCACATTGGACGCGTCTCGGACGAAAATCGGTAAGCGGGTTTTTAATCGGTATGCGCGGCAAAAATTTTGCGATAAAAGTAATCGGTATGCGGAAAAATCGCTATGTGATGCCATCGTTATGCGGGGGTCCACTGTATGTAATTTATGTACGTTCTCTATATACATTCTCCTATAAATGTGTATATTTTGTGGCCCAAATCACTAATTAGTAAAGTCAGGTCATTAATAATCCAGGTCACTCCTGCCTGTCCCAACTACTGGACAACTATGACAAGGTCCTGGATTCTCTAGAAGACAAACAAAATGCAGATGTAGTATACACCAACTTTGCGAAAGCCTTCGACAAGTGTGACCATGGTGTAATAGCACACAAAATGTGTGATAAAGGAATAACAGGAAAAGTTGCTAGAGGGGTCTATAACTTCCTAACAAACAGAACACAAATAGTAGCAGCAAACGAAGTAAAGTCTGCGGCAGCTACTCTGAAAAGCTCTGTTCCACAACGCAGAGTATTCACCCCCATTCTGTTCCTCATTCTCATATCTGACATAGACAGGGATGCAAGCCACAGCGTCCTGTCTTCCTTTGCATGACAGTGTTCTTCATCGAAGACACGGCAAGACTCCAGGCAGACATCAACCAAATCTTTAAATGGGCTGCAGAAAACAATGTAAAGTTCAATAAAGAGAAATTTCAGTTACTCCAATATGGAAAAAGTGAGGAAATTAAACCTGTATCAGAGTATAAAACAAATTCCAGCCACACAATAGACCGAAAATCTAATGTAAAGGACCTGGGAGTGATAATGTCAGAGGATCTCACTTTCAGAGACCACAATAGTATCTACTGCATCTGCTTGTTCTATTTAGGCTGGAATGTTGCTGCACACTAACAGTGCCTTTCAAGGCAGGTGAAATTGTTGACCTGGAAAATGTACAGAGACCCTTCACAGCACACATAAGTATGATAAAACACCTAAATTACCGGGGACGGTTGAAGTTCCTCAACCTGTATCCCCTGGATTGCAGGCAGGAGAGATACATGATTATATATACTTGGAAAATCCTAGAGGGATTAGTATAAAATTTGCACATGAAAATCACACCCTATGAAAGCAAAAACTCAGCAGGCGATGCAACATCTCCCCATTGAAAAGCGAGGGGCACCACTAGCACAATACGAGACAAGACAATAAGTGTCAGGGGCCCAAGACTCTTCAACTGCCTCCCAGCATACATAAGGGGGATTACCAATAGGCCCCTGGCTGTCTTCAAGAAGGCTCTGGATAGGCACCTAAAGTCAGTACCTGGCCAGGCGGGCTGTGGTTCGTACATCAGTTTATGGGCAGCCAACAGTAACAGCCTGGTTGACCAGGCCCTGATCCACCATGAGGCCTGGTCAAAGACTAGGTCGTGGGGGCATTGACCCCTGAAACCCTCTCCAGGTATGCAATCTACAAACATAATTTACCAGTGTTACTGGTTTAAATTTTATAATTTATAACTATTTAAAGGTCCAGTTTATGTGAGTGTGGGATGAGTGAGTGGGTATCGAAGGAAGGATACTGTTGAGACCCAATGTCCCTAAAATCCTACCCATCGCCGAGGCACAGCTAATATCAATAAGCGTTATGTCTGTGCCCTCCACAAATTATGTGTATGTAATAATTCAGGACTGTACCTGTAAACTTACCGCACATAATTTCTCACATGAGCAATGGAGTTGAAACTAATGATAATGCTCTTCAAAATCCAAAACATAAATTTCACAGTTTTACCGAAGTAAAACTACAAAAAATGCAAGTGCAGTAATACCTTGGATATTTTTTCTTTTATGGTCTCCTGTATGTGGTGATCACTGAGGATAACTGAACTGTCTTCTTCACTGGTGGGCAAGTATTGCTGACGGTGGAAGTATATGCTGCTGGACACAGGATCAAGACAACACGCTATGATGAAGGCTATTGTAACACTTGCCAGTGAAAAATAATTTAGGGTATGGTAGTCCATCAACTCTGTTGATGTCAGCACCTGTAAGTAAAAATTATCAATAAATGTTGGAAAAATGGACACACTGTAAGCCAATACGAGAGTAGATAACTCAAATAATAATAATAATAATAATAATATAATATAATAATAATAATAATAATAATAATAATAATAATATATAATAATAATAATAAAATAATAATAATAATAATTAATAATGATAATATTTTCACTTCAACCGTCTCCCATTATAAACACATTCATTATCATTCATTCAGTAGCTGTCTTGCCACAAGTATACCTTTGGTAGGTTGCGTTTTCCTGCTTCCGCAGCCCGGCCCTGGACAGGCTTTTATTTTTACACAAGTTAATTTTACAGGCTACGATCTGTTATCCAACCTTAGCTCATTTCAAAGTCCAGTCCTATCTGAGGTATACTAACCCCCCCCCCCCCGGTGGCCCGGTGGCCCGGTGGCTAAAGCTCCCGCTTCACACACGGAGGGCCCGGGTTCGATTCCCGGCGGGTGGAAACATTTCGACACGTTTCCTTACACCTGTTGTCCTGTTCACCTAGCAGCAAATAGGTACCTGGGTGTTAGTCGACTGGTGTGGGTCGCATCCTGGGGGACAAGATTAAGGACCCCAATGGAAATAAGTTAGACAGTCCTCGATGACGCACTGACTTTCTTGGGTTATCCTGGGTGGCTAACCCTCCGGGGTTAAAAATCCGAACGAAATCTTATCTTATCTTATCTTATCCCCCAGGATGCGACCCACACCAGTCGACTAACACGCAGGTACCTACTTACTGGTAGGTGAACAGCAGCAGGTGTATGGAAACACGCCCAATGTTTCCGTGTGGTACTTGCCTGGCCATCCAGGTTATTGGTGCTGGCGACCTGCTGGCCCATGCATCCATAACAGCCGGTTGATCAGGGCTGACATCACATATTCACTCTCAAGATGACCCTTTAAACCTTCAACATCCTTCCCTCAGCTTTAGAGTGCAGGCATTGCACTTCCCACCCACAGGACTCAAATATAGCTAACCGGTTTTCCCTGAATTCCTTCATAAATATTATCTTGCTCACATTCCAACATTACATCAAGCCATAAAAACCACTTGTTTCCACTCACCCCCAATCTAACACACTCAAACAAGTATGTTTGATGTTCAAACCCCTAGTACTCAAAATGTCCCTCCAACCATTCCTGGTGTGGAAAATTGCATTTAGCTGAATGCATAATTATTTACATAACAGTAAATGAACAATGATAACTATTATTTATCAGTTAGACAAGTAGGAATTTGGGACACTTAGGTCGCAAAAAATGTCCCCCTTCGATACCTACCACTGTCATATCCACAAGTTGCTCTGGACCTATTAATTAAATGAAATATACATACACCAGGAATACTGGTAAATATATAAATTTGTGGACTGTATATTAAAAATAATAAATGGTTACATATATACACAATTACATAACAGAAGGAAAATATATCTTAATATCACTCACCAATTTGACTGGATATTAAGTTGTATCATACTCAGAAAAACCTCACTAACTAAATTTATGAAAACACTGGCCAGAATTATACACAAATCTAGAGAGCTTATCTGAGGTTCCTGGAGCTGTCTTGTCCAGTCGTCTGATATCTCAAGTTATGCAGGAATGCACATCCAACAATTTTGCTTCCTATTTGAGAGGTGTCAGCCCAATTTTAACCTCTAGAGCACGAAAAATTCTTCCCATTCACTCTAACATTCTGTTCAATTCAAAACCAAGATGGCGAGCCTCTGTGCAGACGCAGACTTTCCGTTTTCTATGACAAATATTATTAATCAGTTGGCCATTTTTTTACATTAAATACGAATTTTCGGGAAAAAAATATATACAGTTTTTCCACCCCTGGGAAGATGCCTATCCCCCCCCTTCCATCCAAAATTTATAACCCTTTTAGTCATCCTTTCCTAAAAATAAATGCACAGACAATTTCTTAATTTAATGTAAAATATTTGGTTTTTTTCACACCCCCAACCCTTCTTAATCCTCGTTACCCCTCTACAATCCTACTTATTTTTTTCCAAACTCTTTCAATAAAAAATTCTTATACATCTTTTTGGGTACACTAAAAAAGCTAATTTTTCCTTAAAATTTTTTTCTTTTGTCCCAAGTAAATGAACTATGCATGCTATTAATCCTTGAATAACCTTCCTTTTTTTCATCATAATTTTTAAAAAACACTGTGACATTTTTTGTGAGACCCCATAGTATACATAGCATTTCAGGAACCCTTTTAAAAAAGGCCAACATTGATTAATAAAAAAAACAATGTATACGGTATGAGAAGGTTTTACTTTTCTGTGTGGTGTTCACTTTTGACTCGATACTTGCTTGTAGAGGTCGTACTCAGTTTCTGCCCCCGGCCCCTTCTTCGTTTTCCCAGTTCCTTTGCCTCGTGGACCCTATCGTAACTTTTCAAAACAGTAGGAATCTCCCTCCCCACATTTTTTCGCCGAGGTTTTTTTCCACTCCCCCCGCCCACCCTGTGACTAAAAAAAATACTTCCTAGCATCCATTGACTTGTCTGTATCTTAATTTCAGCTGGCCACTGAGTTTCTGTTTCCCCCGCTATTCGAAAGCCTGCCCCCCCCCCACAATCCATTTTGAGTATTTTGTGTGTAGTCATTATTTTCTTCGGTCTTCTGTCCTCCGGGTCGTTTTTTCAATTTCTTTAGCTCAAAACGCTTAGCCTGAAAAGTAGTTGCTACTTTTCATTTTTCCCCAGTTTTTAAATGCTGTTCCTTACCAGTGTTGCGCATCCAAATGCCCCTGAAAATATTGAATAAAGAACCGGAAAATGATTCTTTTTTGAAAAATCATGAAGGCCCCCACTCTCAATTTGCCGGCGAAAAAATGGTTTAGAGGTTATTCGGTTGATGAAGCCCAGGCCCTTTAGCGGGGGTTTTTTTTATTTTGTCCCCTAAAAAATCTATCCCCTCTTTTTGGCTTGTTTTAAATTACATTTATAATAAAAAATTTATTATATATTAAATATATTATATTAATATATTTTATATTTATATAAATATTATTATATATAATATATTATAATATATTATATTTTTTTAAATTTTTAAATATATTATTTTTATATATTAAATTATTATATATATTTTTATATATATTTTTATTAATATATATAAATTTTTATTATAAATTATAATTAAAATTAATTATATAAAATAAAATTTTTTAAATAAAAAATTTATATATTTTTATTTAATATAATATTTATATATATTATATTTATTATATTTATATTTTATTATATATATTAAATAAAATTTTATATATATATATATTAAATTATTAATTTATATATATATTTTTAAATTTATAATATTATTTATAATATTTTAATTTTAAAAATATATATATATATATATTTTTTAATATATATTATATAATATATATTATATATATATATATATATATATATATTTATATATATATATATAATAATATATATATTAATAATATAATATATTTATATAAAAAACAGAAATGAGTGGAAGTCGGGAAAAGAAGGCTAAAGGGAAAACGATTAGCTGAATGGATTGGATCAGGCCCGCCCCGGGGCCAGGGCCGGGGTGCAGCAAAGGCATATAGCAGCCCTCGACATTAAATATTTAGTAATGAACTAGCGACCACATTAGTGATATGACAGTATCATACACATGCCGTCCAAACTTCATATCGAATCATTATAAGACTTTAATACTCGAATTCTTAAAAACTACTTGTATGTTGAAGCTTTTTAGGGCATCCGGTAGGACAGATTAATTCACTGTATGGGAGAACTAGCACATTCTTTATCTGAGGTGTTATCCATTTCACCCCTGTGATAAGTTTTCCTAGCTGCCAGTAACGCTGATTCTACAAACTCCTTAGGGTACCACTGTTTCATGGCAATATCAAATATTTTCCTTATTTCTTCATCAAGAAACTCTGGGCTGCACAGTCAGTAAGCTCTCATGGTTGGAATAGTAGTGATTATATGAGCCCACATTAGTGGCCTTCCTATATATGTACTGTAAAAATGAACTTTCTATCAACCCAGTGTATCAGTACATGTAAGAATGGAAGTTTAGATACCACTTTTTTTTCTCAAGGGTGAATTTAATAGACAGGACAATGTTCACCCGAGTGCTTGTTCCCGATCTGTTACCTTATCTGGAAGAAGAATTAGATGAATTCTCTATGTCATTCGATAAGAACACCATTATTGAACTGATTAAGCTGTGTGTAGTTGATTGCAGGTTTGAGTTTGAAGGGAAATATCACTCAAAGGCAGGGAATGGCTATGGAAAATCCATTGTCTCCCCTATTAAGCAATTTGTATATGGAGTTTTTCAAGGTTAGGCTGCTGAAAGGCATCCTGCCCTGCAAAGCTAAATGATTCAGATATGTGGATGACATCTTGTGTCTTTGGCCGAATAATATGTCTCTGGATACATTTTTACTGAGAATTAACACTTTGGTCTCGTCTATTAAATTCACTGTAGAGAAAGAAGTGGAAACTAAACTTTCTTAAATGTGTTGATACACCAGCTTGACAGAAAATACAAGTTTACAGTATATAGGAAGGCCACTTATGTGTGCTTAAATGTTCACTATTATTCCAACCATGAGACAAGAGTAAAAAAAATGAGTGTCTTTCTCACTATGTTTCTGAGAGCTTACCGAGTGTGCAGCCCAGAGTTTCTCGATGAAGAAATCAGGAAAATATTCGATATTGCCACAAAACTGGGGTACCCTATGAGTTTGTAGAATCAGCATTGCTGGCAGCTAGGGAAACTTATCATAGGGTTGAATCCAGGATAACACCTCAGATCAAGAATGTGCCGGTTCTCCCGTACAATGAGAATTTATCTGTTCTGCCGAATGCCCTTAAAAGTTTCAACATACAGGTAGCCTTTAAGAATTCATGAACTGTTAAAAGCATTTTTGGTAAAGCATTTTCCTCAACACTGTGTTGGTGGTGTTAACAGGATCGGTTGCAATGGCTACAACTTTTCTTATGTGGGACAAACCAGCAAACCTCTGATGTCAGAACATAACAACACTGATGTTCGATACGAACTGCACAGGAATTAAAAAGTGAATTTCAGCCATGTTAGGGTCTGCAATAATTCTGCAAACTAGACAGAAGCCAGTCTTCGTTCCTTTCTCCTCTTGGCTTGAACGAAATATAGAAGCAGCAGATATAAAACACAATAAAAGTTCAACTGAAGGCATTGTACACAGTATGAAGCAGGATTCCTACCTGAACTCATTGGATTGTCGTAAATGCAACTCTACAAGGACAAATTGAGTATGCTTTGCTTCTCCCAATCAACCTCATGCATAAACCAGTATTTTTCCTGAGGGTGAATTGGGCCAGCCTCTTGAAATGGGAATTTTTCCTTTTTGCTGCTTCCCATTTTCTTTGTGTGCAGTTGAATTTCCCCCAACTGATAGATGCCAGATACCCTTGAGATTAAAATATTTGTCTTTTATAATGATTAGATATGAAATCTGACAGCATATGATATGTATGATACCTGTCATGCCACTAATGTTGTAGTCACTAGGTCATTATTAACTATTTAATGTCGATGGGTTGCTATATACCTCTTCTGCCTGATGCCATTTCATCTTAGCTAGAGTTGTTTCCCTGAGTGCTTCTGGATTTCCTGCTCATTTCTGCAAAATTGCAAGTTCCTGCTCCTCTAGCTTTTCAACCAGTGGCACTGTAATAAAAGCCTTCTTACGCAGGCGGGAGAGATACATGATTATATACACCTGGAAAATCCTAGAGGGACTAGTACCGAACTTGCACACGAAAATCACTCACAACAAAAGCAAAAGACTCGGCAGACGATGCAACATCCCCCCAATGAAAAGCAGGGGTGTCACTAGCACGTTAAGAGACAATACAATAAGTGTCAGGGGCCCGAGACTGTTCAACTGCCTCCCAGCATACATAAGGGGGATTACCAATAAACCCCTGGCTGTCTTCAAGCAGGCACTGGACAAGCACCTAAAGTCGGTACCTGACCAGCCAGGCTGTGGCTCGTACGTTGGATTGCATGCAGCCAGCAGTAACAGCCTGGTTGATCAGGTTGATCCACCAGGAGGCCTGGTCACAGACCGGGCCCCCGGGGGCGTTGACCCCGGAACTATCTCCAGGTAAACTCCAGGTAACAGTCCAAGAAGATGCAGTCTACCCATCCTGCTCTCTCCTGTCTTATTTGCTACCTCATCATAAAACTCCAGTAGGTTTGTAATGCAGGATTTACCTTTTCTGAAGTCGTGCTGGTTGTCATGTGTCAGCCATTCTTTTCTATGTGCTCCACCACTCTTCTGATAACCTCCATAACTTTACATACTATACAAGTCAGTGACACAGATCTGTAGTTTAGTGCTGCCTGTCTGTCTCCTTTCTTAAAAACTGGGACTACGTTTGCTGTCTTCTACACCTCAGGCAGTTGCCCTGTTTCAGCAGATTTATTGTAGATAATTGTAAGTAGCACACATAGTGCGTCTGCTCCCTCTCTTAGGGCCCACGGAGAGATGTTAACTGGGTCCACCACCTTCGAGGTATCTAGTTCTAGAAGTTTTTCTACTTCCTCCTCGGTTGTGTGCAGTGTGTCCAGCATTTGCTGGTGCACCTCACTCCCTCGATTTGCTGGAAGGCTGTCTCCATTGTGACTATCTCCATGAATCTTGAGCTGAGCTCCTCACATACTTCCTGGTCGCTCCCTAAGAGCTCCCTTCCCTCCTTCCTCAGCCTGATCACCTGGTCCTTGACTATTGTTTTCCTCCTAATGTGGCTGTATATAGTATAACAACTTTGGGTCAGATTTGGCTTTTGATGCTATGGCATTCTCGTAAAGTGTGTGTGTGTGTGTGTGTGTGTGTGTGTGTGTGTGTGTGTGTGTGTGGTGTGTGTGTGTGTGTGTGTGTGTGTGTGTGTGTGTGTGTGTATGTTAGTTACCATTTTGTCCTAGACACATGTCGATTCGACATTAGGCCTGTTGTATGTGCGTGCGTGTATGTATGTGTGTGTGTGTGTGAGGGGATGAGAGCGTCATGTTGCACTCACTCATCATGTTGCACTCACTTGTGTACTAACACTTTGTACGTTACTAAGCAAGTTGTGTAGTGGTCGGGACTGTTATAGAGTTCAATACTCACACTGACACACTGAACTGCTGTTTACATAACATTATCAGCCAGTTGGCTGGTGGGTCTACATGGCGCCCTGCTGACAATAGTCAAGAAAGGTTAACAGCGACATTTCGCTCTGTGTAGAGCTCTACGGGTAAGGATTCCAGCTTTATGAAGCTGGAATCCTTACCCGTTTTACATTATTGCCAACTTAAGAGACTGTCCCCAAAATTAGATTTTTAATTTTATTAAAAAACCTCAAAATTGCTTCTAAAAATATATATAACTTTCATAGTTTGCCTCGCTTATTAAATAATAAATTTCTGTGCAGTTTTATTTATATATTTATGAAGCTTTTATTATCCCTGAGATTTTCATTTTTACCACATTTAGGGTAATTTACCCAGGTTACTCGACCTCTGCTATAACAGAAAAAAACATTTCGCTCTGCGCAAAGCTCTACCGTGACTTCATAAAACTCTACGCAGAGCGAAACATTCTCATAATAAAAGCGTATTCCTCAGCGTGTTTTATCTTCAGTCTGTTGCTGCTGCAGTCCGCATCCCCTCAAGGAAGGTTCCTTGATGTTGGTGAGGGGCTCTTGATTTAGGGAATTGGATCTGTGCTCCAGTTCCCCAAATTAAGCCTGAATGCCTTCCACATCCCCCCCCCCAGGCGCTGTATAATCCTCCGGGTTTAGCGCTTCCCCCTTGATTATAATAATAATAATAATGCAGTCCGCATGACCACCTGCGCTGAGCACCTCTTGAAGACAACCACGTAATTAAGTCACGCGACTCTCTATTCTTTTTAAGCTGGGGTGGGGGAAGCTTTTGCCTGTGTTTTACTTGCATTGTATTCTCTGGAAGCTTGATGAACCTATAAACCTCAGATCTCTGCTGTAATTAAGCTTGATAGCTTTATTATACATCCTACACAGCCATTGTGTGGCTGCAAAACTGGCCATTAAAAAGACAGCCTTCACTCTGCCTAGAACTTTTGTGATGTCATGATAAAAGCCCCGTACATAGCGAAACGTTGTGGCAGTGGAAGCTTGTTTAACATATTGTATTTTTACACATATAACCCGCATATTGGAAAGAGGAGCTTATGATGACGTTTCGGTCCGACTTGGACCATTTACAAAGTGACAGTGACAGTGTTCCGGTCACGGTATTGTGCCTCCATGGTTCGGTGTTGAGTGTGACACGGTGTGGTCCATGGTTCGGTGTTGAGTGTGACACGGTGTGGTCCATGGTTCGGTGTTGAGTGTGACACGGTGTGGTCCATGGTTCGGTGTTGTGTGACACGGTGTGGTCCATGGTTCGGTGTTGTGAGTGTGACACGGTGTGGTCCATGGTTCGGTGTTGAGTGTGACACGGTGTGGTCCATGGTTCGGTGTTGTGAGTGTGACCCGGTGTGGTCCATGGTTCGGTGTTGTGAGTCTGACACGGTGTGGTCCATGGTTCGGTGTTGTGAGTGTGACACGGTGTGGTCCATGGTTCGGTGTCATGAGTGTGACACGGTGTGGCCCAGGGTGCCACCAGTGTCCAGCTTGAGTGTGGGCAAGCTGAAGGGAGCGTGTACCCTCGTAGTCGCCGAGGGGAATGTGTCAGCCTGGCCACCACACTTTGCCGCCCACTTGTCAGAAATTGCAATCTCCTCCTTCCTTTAACTGTTATTGCCTTGGTTTGCATTGTATTTGGACTGGCTTCAGGAGCCGTGTTTGTCAACCGTCTAAGTCCCCTGTGTACATCTGCAAGACTCATGTGTACATCTCTAATCCCTGTGTATAAATCTCCAGATCATGTGTACATCGCATGTGAAAATTGTTTTTTTTATAGTACTGACGTGATCAGAGGATGATAAGAGACGGAATATTATTGGTGAGAATTTGCTGGTGATGTGTTGGTGCAGCTGGGGGAGTGTGTGTGTGTGTGTGTGTGTGTGTGTGTGTGTAAAATAATAACAACAGCCTGACAAACAGATCAAACATCCATAAAATTGGTCTCACCTGTGCAAACACACCCGACATGAATCTTCCTGTAAGTAAGGCAGCTCGGGTGTAACTTGTTACTCTTTGATAAAACTTGGCAGACACCTTTGCGTAAATATATGTATAATATGCTACTTCCGTGGAGGTGGCAATGCCATATGTGAACTCCATGAACTGCATTGCCTCGACGCCCCGAGCCCAAAGAAGAAGACTCCACGTAACAACATAACCAATACCCTCGAAAACGATGACTGGCTTATACCTCAACAAGTCGGTCAACAGGAAGACTACAACCAGTAGCGATAAATAGGAATATGTCCATACTGGATACACATCATAATACACCTGCCGAAGAAAGAGATAACTAGTGTCTCATTATGCACAGAGTATACCAATGTCTGCATATGTTCAAAATGACTTATGAGAAGATAAATCAAAATATATAGTTTCCAAATTCAACATGTAAAAACGACTGGAGAGGGGAAAATTAAGTAAACACAAAGTGGAATGGATGAGCGGAAAGATAAAAAAAATAGATATTATAAGCAGTTATTCTCGTGGATAATGATTTTATTTACAGTATAGAATGTGCTAGTCAATGAGTATGAAAGTTGTTCAACGTACTTAACGAATGCTCTAGATGTTGCAGGTACTAGAGTGTACAGGATGATGAAGGAACCAAGGTGTACAGAATACTGACGGTACTCAGGGAGTATAAAGGATGCTGCAGGTACTCAAGGGGAATACAGTATGCTGCAGATTTTCAATGAATGTACAGGATGTTGCAGGTACTCAAGGAACATACAGGATGCTGCGGGGTTTCGGGAGTGCATAGGATGTTGCAGGTTCTCAAGGATGCACAGGATGCTGCAGGTTCTCAGGGGTGCACAAGATGCTGCAGGTTATCACGAAGTGTATAAGATGCTGCAGGTTCTCAGGGGGTGTACAGGATGCTGCAGGGTCTCAAGGGGTGTACAGGATACTGCAGGTTCTCAGGGGGAGTATAAGATGCTGTAGGTTTTCAAGGGTGCACAGGATACTGCAGGTTCTCAGGGGTTGTATAAGATGCTGCAAGTTCTCAGGGGGTGTACAGGATGCTGCAGGCTCTCAGGGGAGTACAGGATGCCGCAGGTTCTCAGGGGAGTACAGGATGCTGCAGGTTCTCATGGGGTGTACAAGATGCTGCAGGCAGCTTGTGTAAATTGTTATTTTGGGATACATTTATAAAATTGACTTTATTTTGGTTTGAGTGCCGCAAGAGGACCAATCATCAGTGTGTCAATATAATAATAATAATAATAATAATAATAATAATAATAATAATAATAATAAGAAGAAGAAGAAGAAGAAGAAGAAGAAGAAGAAGAAGAAGAAGAAGAAGAAGAAGAAGAAAAGACAAGACAAGAGAGTTGAGATAAGACCCTTGTGGGTTGAGCGGGGAAGTGGGGATAGGAGAATAGATTTGAGAGGAATGTTATGAGTGGTAGAGACAGTACCAGGGCTCAACCCAGTAGCTAGAAGAAGAAGAAACCTTAATACTTGGTTTTCAGTGAGGTTCTGTTGTGGTCCCAGCAGGTACTCGGTAAGAAAAGGCTCAGAAGGCCTCAGTTCCTTGAAGAAACCGTAGAGACACAGCAGGAGGCAGGTTCGTAGCCACACATCCATCTTTCTTGATCAAGAAAACTAATCTGCGAAGTTTAAGTATTATTGGCGTTATATATACTTCATGTATATTTTAGATATTCCCTAAATTTATTCCTAATGTTATTTAAAGCCTGATAGAGGGGGGAGGCTCTTGATCAAAGAAATTTTAAGTACCCTACCCTTCCTCAGATAAAACCTGATTATCTCCCATTGAATGCAACAACAACAACAACAACAATAATAATAATAATAATAATAATAATAATAATAATAATAATAATAATAATAATAATAATAAACAATGATAATACCTCCGATCTGAACCACTGTTTTCCATTTTGCATGATATGCAACGGTAATTCTCTTCTCCAGGGAAGTTCCTTAATGCCGATTGAGGCTCTTGGTCCAAGGAATTGGGTTTGCTTCCCCTTCATTGGATCGAATCATGAATGTCTCCCATTCCCCCAGGCGCTGTATGACCCCTACGGATTCAGCCCTCCCCTACGAATATACTGAAACCGACCAGCGTGAACATACCACAGTGGAGTGCTTCACTCTGTAAACATAACTAACAGCGCAGTGGTGTACTTAAGAACATAAGAACATAAGAACGAAGGAACACTGCAGAAGGCCTACTGGCCCATGCGAGGCAGGTCCAAGTCTCCTACCGGCTTAATTAAGCCAATGCACCCAGCCTAGTCAGGTCAGGTCACCACTGTCTGAACATAAACTTATAAATAACAGAGGAAAAAGACAACAGATTGAAAGTTATATATGCACTGCAGGGTAGCAGCATATGGATGGACAAGCAACAATGGCAAATATTATTTTATTCACGAGGAAGCTCTAACCCTGTAGTGATCATATAGAACTTCAGGAATATATTAATGTTGGTACAATAACCGACTATATGCTAGGTAAAGGACACAAGTGCAACTAATATGACATTTTATTGTGGCAATGATTCGCTCTCAAGGAGATTTATCAAGCCGCTGCGGCTTGATAAAACTCTTGGAGAGCGAAACGTTGCCACAGTAAAAGTCACATTAGTTACACTTGTGTCCTTTTACCTAACAACCTCAGGAATGCGTGGCAATCAGGTGCAATCCGAGTCCAATTCTTTGGATCAAGAGCGAGCCTCCAGCATCAAGGCACGTTATTGGAGGGGTCAATATAACACAGCCTCATTAACAGTAATATAATATTTCAAGAAAACGTGCGTTGGATGGTTAGTAACCCAAAAAACTTAAGAAAACTAATCAGCCTGATTTATTTCCACTGAAGTATTTTGATCTTTTCCCAGGATACGACCCACAGTACTTGCCTGATAACCATGTACCTACTTACTGCTAAGAGAACAGGGAAATATCTCCAAAGTTTCCACTTGTGCCAGGAACGAACCCGGGTCACTCAGATGTAAGCTGAAAGCGCTACCACTTATCCATGAGCCACATATTCATGAATACAAGTTACACAGTTGCAAACACTAACATATAAGCCATTAGAAGCCCATCAGCATTTGGTGCACATTTAGTATAAGCTAGGTCAGCACATCATAGGTATAACAAGTTTCATCATGTTTTAAGAAACAACAGAGCACAAGTTTGAACACTGTCTCCCCATAAGTCAGCATACTGCACTCTCCATGCTTAAACTTGCAACTGCTGGGCTGTTGAATATAATGGAGGTGGAGATTGTGTAGCTACATCCCACGAATTGAATCAAATCAATATTAGATAAGACCGAGTACATATGAAAAGGAAAGTTGAAGACGTGAGTATATAAATCGAATGCCAGTCCAAATCTAAGAAAAATTCAAGTACTGTATTTGCGTTTGGAAAGACTTCATTGTTGGATATAAAAGGAAGACTTTGTATCATGGTTCAATACCTAGGTCCTAGGGCATGTGAATAGTCTGCGTATAGAATTTACATTACGTATAAAGAATCTCGTTTTGTACTTTTTGGGTAAATATCGAAACATACTGAAAATTCTTATTATTCTGCTAATACCTTAGTTTCTTAAGTTTAAACTCCATTGACTGCACGTTGTGCCATTAAAGCTGAAATTCATCTGGCAATAATATTAAGAACAGTTTAATGCTTATGTAAATAACTCAATTTACTTTATTCCTATTGTAACTGATTTTCACACAGCTGAGTTACTTAGCTGTTTTAACTTATTAAGGTTTAAATAATAAGATA